AGTTCCTTTAATTCATTATTATATAACATGATTCCAGACAGCGTCACTCCAAAGTTCCTATATAGGACAGGCTAGAAGCCCTGTTTTGAATTTCCCTTGCAGGGCAAACACAGTTACTACTTAGCTTTTATGCGATATCACTTTTGTCTCCCTAATAGTTGTCCAATTATGCCAAAGATAGCATTTACTTGGTTTCTGCCACAAATCAAGCTTTGACATAATGGCTTATAGGTTTTAACAAACTGGATTTTCTTTTTTTCTTCAATTTTTTGGGGGCATGGCTTTGGCAAAGCTTTGGGGGTAGGAGTATACAAGGCAAAAAAACATTGTGCAGCCCTCTAGTAGCATCTAAGCTAGTCAACATTCTTCTCAAAAGGTCATGTCCAGGAGGAAGTCAAAACAAACAAAATCAAATTAGTGTGGAACTATTCCTTCTTACAGTGTTAGAGTATTGTATTTAACTTATCAAAACTCTCAGATACATTTTCCCTAATAAGTTCCTTTCTTATCACATCTCTAGATTTCTACTTTTTTTAACTTAAATGTAAACTTGGTTTTATTTATGTAGCTATTAATTTAATTAATTAATTACATTTTTATTGAGTTATAGTCATTTTACAATGTTGTGTCAAATTCCAGTGTAGAGCACAATTTTTCAGTTATACATGAACATACATATATTTATTGTCACTTTTTTTTGCTGTGAGCTACCACAAGATCTTGTATATATTTCTGTGTGCTATATAGTATAATCTTGTTCATCTATTCTACATTTTGAAATCCCAGTCTGTCCCTTCCCACCCCCCACCCCCTTGGCAACCACAAATTTGTATTCTATGTCTATGAGTCTGTTTCTGTTTTGTATTTATTTTATTTATTTATTTATTTTTAGATTCCACATATGAGCGATCTCATGGTCTTTTTCTTTCTCTTTCTGGCTTACTTCACTTAGAATGACATTCTACAGGAACATCCATGTTGCTGCAAATGGTGTTACGTTGTCGGTTTTATGGCTGAATACTATTCCATTGTACAAATATACCACATTTCCTTTATCCAGTCATCTGTTGATGGACATTTAGGCTGTTTCCATGTCTTGGCTATTGTATAGTGCTGCTATGAACACTGGGGTGCAAGTGTCATTTTGAAGTACAGTTCCTTCTGGATATATGCCCAGGAGCGGGATTCCTGGGTCACATGGTAAGTCTACTTCTAGTCTTTTGAGGAATCTCCATACTGTTTTCCACAGTGGCTGCACCAAACTGCACTCCCACCAGCAGTGTAGGAGGGTTCCCTTTTCTCCACAGCCTCTCCAGCATTTGTCATTTGTGGACTTTTGAATGATGGCCATTCTGACTGGTGTGAGGTGATAACTCATTGTAGTTTTGATTTGCACTTCTCTAATAATTAGTGATACTGAGCATTTTTTTTCATGTGCCTATTGATCATTTGTATTTCTTCCATGGAGAACTGCTTGTTTAGGTCTTCTGCCCATTTTTGGATGGGGTTGTTTGTTTTTTTCTTATTATGTCATATCAGCTGCTTATATATTCTGGAGATCAAGCCTTTGTTGGTTTCATTTGCAAAAGTTTTCTCCCATTCCATAGGATGTCATTTTGTTTTACTTAGGGTTTTCTTTGCTGTGCAGAAGCTTGCAAGTTTCATTAGGTCCCATTTGTTTATTCTTGCTTTTATTTCTATTGCTTGGGTAGACTGTCCTAGGAGAACATTTTTGAGATGTATGTGAGATAATGTTTTGCCTATATTTTCTTTTAGGAGGTTTACTGTATCTTGTCTTATGTTTAAGTCTTTGATCCATTTTGAGTTTATTTTTGTGTATGGTGTAAGGGAGTGTTCTAGCTTCATTGATTTACATTCTGCTGTCCAGTTTTCAACACCATTTGCTGAAGAGACTGTCTTTATTCCATTGTATATTCTTGCCTCCTTTGTCGAAGATTAAACTAAACCATTAATTTAGTTTATTAATGTTGGATTATATATTTTGTAAAAATTCAAAAACATAAGTTCAATTAGGTACATGAAAGACTCGGTTTCTTTTCTAGTTATTAGAATAAAGATTCCAAGAGTAAATAAAATAAACTAAAATATTTAATAGTATTATTTCTAAGGAAGTCCTATAGGCAGAATGTTTCCTAATTCTTCTGGTTGCCTTTTTTTACTAGAGTTCTACCAAACCAAAAAAGACCTCAATTCTAACAATATCACAAATGAAAAATGCCTAAGAGAAAAATGTGAGCTCAGTTTTAAAGTAATCATGGTAATTCATCTAATTAAAAATAAACTTTTATACTTTCCTTTCTAAATCTTCTAATTCAATGAAAGTGACTAATTACATCAAGTTTTTAAAAGTTATAAATGTTTTTAATTTTAAAGGTTGCAAGAAATAGCAAATCATCAATTTGGAAAAATCAGCTACAAGTCTCTATGCATAGTATCACACCAGATATTTAATGAAAAGAGCATTCTCACATCATTTTGATGGCCCAGTACATGTTACTTTCCAAAGGATATGAATTCATGAGTTTCCAGCAAAATACTGAATAACCAATTAACCTGAAAATAAATCTGGGTAACTCTAGGAATGTTCTGAGTTTATAGTAACATTTTAGATCCTCAGGGACAAGTACTGAGGAATAAATCTGTTTGGTTTCTAATGCCAGTGAATTCCTTTGTGGCAACTTTTAAACCCCAGGAATTATCCCATTTGGAGGCTATAATTCTCTTATAAGATGTGCTTTCCAATTAAAGACCACATCCAGGAAGGCATGTCAGTAAACATTATGGCTCCATGGATAAATCCTGGGGGAGGATTTAAATGGTCATTAAGAAAGTAACTTATTTACATTAGATTTACAAACTTTCAAATAAATTCTAGCAGTAAAAGAATGGCCTATTGGTGTCAAGAATATAGCAAAGGCTTTAGGTGAACAATAGATCAATGTATTTTGTTGCTGAAGAGTAATTTTAGAGATCATATAAGAGGTAAATAGGAAAGCCTTCATTTTATAGAGGTAGAGTGGCTTGTCCAAAAGACAGCCATAACTGGAAACTGGACTTTGGCACTTCCTTTTTTAACTTGCCTTATCTCTAGCAAGTCCAAAACACTATATTATCAAGACCATACCATCTCCACAGACTATGTGACTTATCTGGTTTTTAGGATAAGGAGGCAATATATATACTGCTATCATCGCTTCACCTCTGTGACCTGGTAGCCCAAACCTATGTCCCCAGGCATAGGGAATGAGAAGAAGAGTCAAAATGACAGCCTCTTTCTCCTACACTTCCCAACAAATCTGTGGTGCCACAAAAGGTCACTCATTTAATTATTAAAATTTGAGGACAAGTATAGTTTGCTGCTTCACGGACATCTACCTGATGTACGTGCAACTGGCTGGCTGAGTAGCCAAAGGGACTCCTTTGCTCATCATCCTGACAGATGTAAACAAATGTATTGGAGGCTATTATTAAGATTACCAAAAGATTCTTTTCAAAAGCATTCTTTTAAATGTTTAACATTTCATTACCTTTACAAGATTCTACTTAGATCAAACATTTTGCAATGCCTGCGATGCTTCAATTCCCATCTGGAATGTGATGGCACACTCCCTGAGACACCACAGCATCTGGGGGCAAATGGGCTCTTTCAAATTTACAGCCTCCAAAGGTAAACATGCTAATGCCACAATCCACAAACTTGCACCACGGGACACCTTAAATATGTGAAGGAAACACAGGAGAACTCAACAAATGTTGAATATCATGTGGACTACAAATTCATGCTAGCTCACAGTTTTGACATTAGATCACATGAAAATCAATGTGAAACAGGAAATGGAGCTGGTGGTGGCCGATCTGATTCCAAGATTTGAGAAGTTGTACAGTGCCCAATAGGTGCTCAAATACTACAAGTCAATGTGATTATTTTAAAATAAAATATCTTTTTTATTCAATTTATGTGTATTTTAAAATGGCTATTAAATTGTTAGATCATGCACAAGTGAACTTATTTACAAAACAGAGACAGACTCACAGATGTAGAAAACAAAGTTATGGTTACCAGGGGGAAAAGGGGTGGGAAAGGATAAAGTGGGAGTTTAACACCTGCAGATACTAACTAATATATGTGCAATAGATAAAAAACAAGTTTCTGCTGTATGGTACAGAGAACTATATTCAATATCTTGTAACCTATAATGAAAAAGAATATGAAAAGGAATATGTGTATGTATATGTATGACTGAAACATTATGCTGTACACCAGAAACTGACACAACATTGTAAACTGACTATACTTCAATTTAAAAAATAAATCGTTAGATCATGGATACTTACATTCTTAATAAACAAAACTATTAGGGTTTTGCTTGTTTGTGCCATGGATGGCCCATGAAAAAATACTAAGATACTAAGTGCTCTGTGAACTGAGACAGTTTGAGAAACTCTGCTAATGCAGAACTGAGATGACATATACACTGAATGGCTTGAAGGTTACATAAAAACTCAATAATAAATTGAAAAGACTAGACTTCCTAGTCATAAACACAGATATACCCCAAATCGTAAATCACAGAGTCACTATTACCATGTTTTTAGCTAGCTGTCATGTGTACTTTATTATATAGAGCACTGACAAGTTAAGACTGTGGTTTCTAGAGTTCAGCAGCCTTAGGTTCAAAATGTAACTTTGTCATACATTAACTGTGCACCTTGGCCTTTAAACCTCAGGTTCCTAATCTGTAGTAATGGAAACAATAATGGTACCTACTTTATAGTACATACTATAATGGTTAAATGAAATAATGCATGAAAACTGTATGTGGCAGATAAGTGCTCAGTACAATACTAGTTATCACCATTATTAAAATATACTCATCAGAGAATTTCACTTCCAGAATAACAAACTAGGTGCTTTAGATCAATCCTACTGTAAGTATGTCTTAAAATGTTAAACAGAATTTTTAAAATAATTTTTTAAGGAACCAGAGGCTCACAGGTAGTAAAGAACTCTGGAGTCATGACTAGGAAAAGATACCAGCTCAGAGAGGTAAGTCTGGCGTTTGAGGGTAATTTTGTGCTCAAAGCTTTTGTCAATGTCAAAAGCATGGCTAAAAAAGGGAACAGAAGTTTTAATAAACTTACAGTGCTGAGGCATAAAAATTAGCATTCAGAGCCCACTAAGGAGAATATAAAGCCTCATATGAGTTGGGACCTCAAAGGGTTATACACATTTGGAGTAAGTATGAATCTAGAATCAGACCTCACTCACAGAAGATATTTATTACCAGCAGATCCACAAAAAGTATGATAACTGAACTAACTGAAGTTTATTCTTCAGGCAGAAAGAATGTTTCAAAGAGAAAGCTCAGGTATACAGAAAGGAATGTTTTCCATAAAAGTAGTGACAATAAATATCTCTCATATAAAATACATATACAATTAAAATACACAACAGCATTTAAGTTTGGGGAGGGGGTTGTTAAATGTATTAAAGTAGAAGATTCTTTCACAGCCCAGGAAGTGCTAATAGTACTACTTTTAATCATACTTTAATAGATCTAAGATGGATAGTGTAGCCTCTTGGGTAACCATGAAAAAAAAACCAGAAAAGACTTAAATATTACAAGCTAATGATGAGAGGAAGAGGGAATGCCATAATAAAGTATGAGATAAGTACCACAATGATCTCATTTTTATCAACATGGAAGCTGAAGCAGAGAGAGGCTAGTAACACGATCACACACCTCATAGAGAGGCTAGGATCGGAGCCCAGGCTCCAGAGTGTGTGCTTTTTACCACCCACGAGAAGCCCTTGACTGGGACTGAGGTGGACTTGACCATGAACCAGATGTCTAACCTCACCAAGACATTTCATACTTCTACATCTCCTTCCTAATACAGAGAAATGAAAAAAAATTTTCAAGTACTACCTAACGTCTCTTTTAATTTTTAAAATCCTGATTTTTAGTAGCAAAGCTTTATTATATAATTATATCCTCAACCCTAGATAAATTACATAAACACTAGGCCTCTTCACACAGTTTATGTTTCCTGATTTCTGAACAACATAACTCAACTAATACTACTGTAAGAGTAAAGGAAGAAAAACTATTAATAAAATAAAGAGATATTTTTCTGCAATATTTTTCTAGACAGTCATTATAAAGGCACTTGCATTTTCCACTAAAAAGGTTGTTCTTGTTTTTGGTAGTTCCTAACAGTCATCTCTAGTTTCCCCCCAAAGTCTCTTCTCCTCTTAAAAAACTATAGAAATTTTCAATTGAACACATGTTTATGTAGCTGAAGATCAAATTTCCCAGCCTCTTGTAGCTACATATGGCATATGACTAAGTTCTGACCAATGAGATCTGAGAATAAGGGATGTGTACAACTTCCAGGTCGTTCCTTTCAAAGGAAGGGCTAGGCCCTCTTCTTTCCCTTCTTTCCTCTTTTGACCTGACTGGGATTGAGTGAAACTGGACCACCAGATGGACACTGTGTTGAAGCTGGCACAGCAAAAAGAAAAGAGAAGCTTAATTCTCTGATATGTGTGGGGCCATCATATCAGCCCAGATATTTATATGAGTGAAAAAATCACTTCTGTCTTACTGCGGATCTCTTAATTTCAGCCACTGACCACAAATCCTAACTAAATTACAACTAGAAAGCACATCATAAAGTGATTTGTGTTTTCACACAAAAAGCTGTAATTAGGGACTATGTTCCTACCCCTAGTCTTAATTTCAAGATAAATATTGTCAACAATACAATAAAAGGACAAAATAAAACAAGTATCACTATTAAATTCCCTTACAATATAAAGTCATAACATGGTACTATAAGACATGCAAATGTGCTATGCACATTGGTTATATAAGGACTAGATATCTCCTGCATGTAAACATTAAAATACATGTACCACAGCTATATATGGGGTATCATAAATGTGACCTAAAATAAACAAGCCAGCTATAATCTGGCTGAACATTTAATTAATAACTTTGCTTGCTCCCTTGGAACTTAATTAAAGGAGGTTTTGCATGTTTTTCTGTTTTTGTAATGATGTAGAGTCCCTTGTTTTCTTAAAAACCAGTCCAGGGCAGCTTAAGCTGTAAACTTCTTCTCTCAAATAGTTTCCTAAATGTAATCATGTTATTGATCAGATAGCTGTACTTTGTAAAAGTATCCCGAAATTCTTCTGTACCACTTTTTAGTTTGGTTGGCATTTGATGACAAACTTGATGTGCTATGGGTAATTAATGCAGGATACTAGCCAGGGTTCTAAATTAACCAGCATTAAATCTAAGTACCTGGGTCCACATTGATTCATGTGTTTCTAATGAACACCTGAAGAAAGTGTTTTAAATAAGATTTAATTCTTCTCAGAATTTACCAAGAGTAACTAAACTCTGTGGGTACTGAGTGTACAGAATTATTTGCCATACACTCAAAGCAGTGGCTTAACCCCCAATCACAGAACTCTACACACCAGACTGGAAAAAGAAAATCTTTAAGGCACAGAGGCAAAGTCCTAGACGTGGTCTTATATGATTCCCTTCTTGAGCCATACACTATAGGCTCCACCCAAGTCTAGATGTCCAGATGCACAATGACTTTAGGAACGCCTCACCTCAAACTTATCCATTTATATGAATCCACTTTGTAATGTGTTACTTTCTTTTCTGCTTTTACTGTAAGTCTGGAGGTTCTCTCATCTTCCGTCTATCTCTGAGGCTTGGCATTTGTGCAGAAGAAACACTTGTCTCTGCTGAGTAAGGAGAAACATCCCTCTTCTATTGGAGCTACATTAATTAGCAGGGTATTCAGTTTCCCAATGTTATACTGTCATGCTAATAAACTAATCTGAGCTCCCTTCTTGTATTGCTTAAGGTTGAATATTTTCACTGACTCACTGGCCCTAAGAAAACTACCTTTCTTTTGTACCATAAATCTTTTATTTTTAGATACATTTATCAAATCAATTATGATATATTCATATGCCTTCAAGAGAACATTTTTCAATGTTTGAGGATTACTTAAAAGTTATAAATTATTTACAAAAGAAATAAAATATAATTTCTTCAAAAGAAAAATTACCTTGTATAACAAAAACACTATGATATTTATTTTTAAGTGACTCTGAAATCACACCCAAATAGTGGCCACCAGTGACCAGCTTATAGATAAAATAAGAATTTGTAACCAATCAAGACCCCATGGGGCATTCCCAGGACAGAATCTCCCACTCCCATGTCCTCCACGTGCCTTTGTGTATAGAAAAATTAGCCTCCTAGGCCTTCCCCAAATTCCAAAGAATAAATTTAATTAGAGAAGTGAGAAAATGCAGGAAAAAAAAAGGAAAACATTCAAGCAAATCAAAATAATAATAGTTCAGACATTAAACAAAGTCAGGGAGCTTTAATTTCTCCTCAAAGGCTACAGGTAACATTCTAAGCCATGCCCTTTGAGCTGTTTTACAGATACTGAAACCTTCATCAGGCGAAAAGAAGTTAACTGTATGCTACCCACAAGCACATAGACCCCAGACGGACTGGAACCAGAAGGTTGATGATGTTGACTCCCGATTACCTGACCACCAACCAATAAGAAGAATGTCCGTCTACGAGCTGATCATGCACCCCACAACCTCCCTCCCTCATCCTGTCTTTAAAAACCTTTCCCTGCAAGTCACTGGGGACCCTGGACCTTTTGAGCACTAGCTACCTGGACTCCTTGCTTGGCTCCTGCAATAAATGCTACACTTTCCTTCACCACGACCCTGTGTCAATAGATTCGCTTTATTGTGCACAGGCAAGTGGACCCAAGTTTGGATCAGTAACAAACTAAGAAGAATAAATTTAAAATATCCTATGTAGTAGCTTACAAATAGAGTAAGAAAAGCATAAGAACAAAAATTTAGAAAGAAAGCAAAATTATTTGTCTTTAAACCAATGAAACACATTTTTATTTTTCCCATTTAAAATTTTAATTTCCACATAACTTATTAAGCCAAAAAATTTAATAGTAACCCTATATAAATTATTACATCCTTTTCTCCACCTCTCTTGCTTCATGTTGAGATTAACTTTTAAAGTGCAGTACAAGTACTTACTAAAAAAATAGTAGTTTTAGTTACAGCAATAGCTGAAGCAGCAGCTATCATTAAGAGCTTATGATATACCAGATTGTATAAAGTTGAATGAATTACCATATTTACACCTCTGTTAGACACATATTATTATTAGCCCTATTTAACTAGAGAAAAAAAATATTTAGCAGAATTAAGTAACTTACTCAAGATGAGATAGCTTGTAAATGGTTCAAAGGGGACTAAACCCAGGCAGAGAGACAAACAGCACACTTAACAAACTTTTCAAAATATATTAAGAGCATGTCATAATTCTATAACTACTCATTTAGATTCAAATTTTCCTTTAATTAGCAATTACACGTGTATAGACTAAATAATTGGTCAAAGATATCACATTGTGACTACTTCCAAATAAGAATTAGAGGATGCTTGAATTACAGAGCTTCAAGAGTCCCACACTGACGCAATTTCATGAGGTGCTCTCTGCTCGCTGTCCTCTCCTGCCACTTCAAAATCCCAAAGAACATCAGAGCTTGGTAAGGATCAGAGTGCTATTACAAAGATCACGCTGACCTATTACGCTAATTCAAAAATAAATTTTGCTTATTATAAAAGAGTTGCCACATAATTGAGTTTAAATTATTTCTAGAATTTAAGAAATGCATACAATTAAAGAGAAAAAAGGAAAGGGCCAAAGATAAAAAGTACTGAAAGAACAAAAAGCAGTGATAGGGAAAGAAAGATGAGTCAGTAAGAAGGAATGCAAAAACGGAAAAGAAAATGGATAAAGAGAAAAGGAGAGTATTCAATAATGAGAAAGATTACAAGAAGTAAATTACAAAGATAAACTACAAATTTACAAAAGTCAATTGCACAAAAGGTAAATCATAAAAAAGTAGGCTGATAGCAAAAATGAGAAATGAAAGATGAGAAAAATCTGTGTCTATGACCATTCTTTCAAGTATCTACTAACTATAAATCTCTTTATTATTTTTTTTCTAGGCTTCTGTTCCAGCTATTCAGACACAGTGCTTCGTAGGTCAGGGAAACACTAATGAGACACCCTAATCCCTTACTCACAGTCTTGTTCTCCTTTAACATTTTTTTCTTTTTTAAGTACATAATCTAAAATTCAACAGCCTAAATGGTTATGTGAAATACTAAAGAGTATTTTACTTTATTCCTTTTTTTACATGAAATGTATTTTCTTTCTTAATATACTATTAATCACTTTATACCACTCTTCTGCAATGTAACATTAGGAAGCATACTTCTTTTCAAAGTTAAATATATTGCTTATAATAGGAAACATTGGATGCTCTTTCCAATCTGCCAATAATATATTTTTCATAATGAAACTGAAGTCAAAAAGTCTGACGCTCTCCCATCTGGTCCTTTTCCGGGCTAACTCTCATTTATGTAAGTACCTCCATTAGCCTAAATCTGGAATTTATTGCTTAAGAACAATGCTTTAACCCTGAGTATGTAACATAAACCCAAATTCCACCAAAAAGAAACCTTATTTCACAGAATCAAAAGAATATGTGATGACATTACAGCTTATTTAGACACATCACTGTTGCTTCCTCTAATGCAGATGAAAATCTGATTATAAATTAAATCTTTCTTTATAAGAATATTCACAAATCCAAATCCACTTATTTACAAGTGGATAAATGTATTTATAAATTAACTTCTGAGTGGTTTGAAAATATGTCCAAGGAACCTAACTGGAAACAAACAAATAAAATGCAACTACCTATGGGAAAAACCCTCCATTTTATACATGTTCAAGAACAGCCATTCAGTCAGACTAGCTGCCAAGAGTGCTTGACTATCGTCGTAAGTCATCAGGGATTGTTGTAACACAAAATCAAAATGGTAGTGACTTTTCTGTCATTGCAGTTTGGTCTGAATACCACTTCAGCTTTGAAAAATTGAGGGGTAATTTTAATATACCAAGAGATGTACTACATAATGAAAATGGAATCTATTTAAATAATCAGCTATGTAACTTGTCAACAGATGCCTATGTTAAAAAACAAAACAAAATGAACTCTAGTCATTAGTGCTCTCAGAAAAAAAAGTGCCAGAAAAAAATTAATTTACAACTACCTATTACCATAAAATCTTCGAAAACAACTAACTTATACTTCTCTCATATATGATCTACTCACCCAGCCTAGGCAGGAAGAAGCAGATATAAAGGGACAGTCAAGGAATAACACTGTGATCTGGGATGCACTTCCTGTCACCATTTTTTGGCAAATGATAGACCCCAAAGCAATGACAATCTGCTCTGATATTGCCTCTCTGTCATATCATACTCCCCTAAAAAAGTATCTCAATGGAAAAATGGGGCCAGTCAATCAACTTTGGTGTAATAAATTTGTTCCCAATCCTAACATACAAAAATAACCTTTTAAAAAACCAATGTATCAGCACAAAGTAAATAAGAGACAGGCTGAATGAATTTAAAACATTGATACATGTTTATACACATGTATGTATATATGTCATACTTGAATTGAAGTTTACTTTTTAAAGATCAGGAAATGAGCCTTGAAGAGGTTCATCAACATAGTGCTTATGGTACATAATCACATAGCATTTAATGGCAGAACATGGATATAAAACTAGATCTATCTATCTGCCTGACTCCAAAGACACTGCTTGCTTTTGGTCGTTATATGACACTGACTTCCATTTAAAGTAAGTACAGCAAAATGATTAATCATTCCATATTATTAAATATTTATATGAAATGCACTAGGCATTATGCTAGGCACTGAAAGTTTACAACTACATAGTATTAGCAAATCATACCAATAATTAAAATTTATATTGTTAATAGTCAAAGTGGGAGAATGATCTCCAAGTACTAATGTCCAAAGGATCAACTGGAGAAGTAAGACTAAAGCTTGAGAGGGACTGGGGAGTCATACTAATACGAATGATAGAATGAATTATGAGGACGGAAGAGAAAAACTTGCATAGTGGCAGTTCTGAGTGCTAAGGTGTAAGAAGGGGACTGACAAAGGAAGAAAAGAGAGATTACATTATATTACATTAAACTGTATAGACCTCATTAAGGATGGTTTAAAGAATGCTTACTTCATTACGTTTTTAATTTTAATCTTAGCTGCTTCTGTCCTCATCCACTGTAGAAATAGGAGTGAAAATATTCTGGTTTTAAAAGCTATGGTTTCTATGATATAGTTTCAAAGAGCTGACAGTTAAAAAAAACAGCACCTGGCCCCTCAGTGCACATACACACATGCACACGCACATTATATAATCACATAAAGGCTTTCACAATAAGGAAAGGAAGCCTTCAAACAGCCCCTACACACTACCTTGTGAATAGTTTTGCCAGTTCCTGTCCTGATCAACTGCCAGAAACAGTTTTCAAATTAATTAAAACATATGGTCATTAAATTCACAACAAGAATGCATTACAAATAGACCCACTTTATACCATAGATATATTCATAAGAAGTTGCCAGTAAGTATCATTTTTAAATTTAAGAGATGCTTTATCTTAATTTCTGATCTTAATTTGGCAGTGACTCAATTTAATTTTCAGTTTATCTGCCCTATAGCCCCTCAGTTAAGGAATCAATGTTCTATAAATAGTATTTAATGAATTAAGGAAGCTTACTATTTCAATAGGCATTACAAAAAGGTTCTATAAAACAAACAAATTAGTACCTCTTGGTGTCCACTTTGAAATTTTGAATTGTAAGGAGAGAATGGTAAGAGGTTGGGTGAAGAGGCTTTTTTTTCTATAGAGAAAAAAACCCTTCTGTATTTTTATTAAATTATGGCCCCTATGATGTATGATATTGAAGCAGAACTATAGAATTAATGTTTTTGCCAGAGAAATCTAACTGTACAGCAATTAGGCAACATTTACAATTTGAGTAAAAAAGGAGGTTGCACTAGCAGGCGAAGAAACAGTCAGTGATACGTTCTCAAGAGGGAAGAACCTCTATAAAGTCATACTCTCCACACTGCTCAGGTGGGCAGTGAAAGACCAGGGGTCACGTTAACTCGAAATTCTACTCAAGCTCATGAACATTTACCTACTGAGCAAGGCCTGCATGGAAGGCAGATAAACAAGGCGACAACTCAGCCAAAAGACAGTCAATGCAAAATCAACATCCATACTGGTTTTCTGTAATAGTTCCAATGTCGGACTATAAATCTGAGTTTCTGGTTGGGCAAAGAGCATCATGTGTCTAGTTTCTCGATCCTGTATGTTCATAGCTCCACATTTTGTTTTTTCTGCTTTGTAAAGGAATTATTGTATAACCCTGGCAAATAGATATCTGGCAAAAGAGACAGGTATCTTATTACAGATGATACTACTACTACTACTACTACTGCTACTACTACTGCTGCCACCACCGCCACCACTACTATTGGTATCTTACCACAGTCTCAGGTGTAGGACCCTACATCAAGTATATACCTGCCCAATGTCAAGGTATTTATGAGGTAAAACATTTAAACTAGAATTCTCCTAAAAGAAAAAAATCTCACCTTTAGGTGAGAAGAAAAAGCACTTTGTGAATAGAAGGCAAGGACACACAGTGACACCATATGTTAATACCAAATGTTAATTTTATTGTGCCCAGCTTCTGGTTCTGCCATTATCTCAGTACCCTATTTTTTAAAGTATAAATGATTAAAGATAATCTTCAATA